AGTTCACGAATCAGAAGAAAGCCCCATCTGCGCTCTGTCACCTTTGTTCCGGAATCATTGCGTCACAGCGCCACGCCTCATCTCGCGATATTTCAGTCAGAGCGAATAAATACTGCAGCCGTTGGTTCGTTCACATCATCCGGTGAAGAAAGTGACATTTGTGGGTCGTCTCTCGCCTTTACTCGGTAAGTGTTTTGAACACTTTGTTGAAAAACGACCCGTTAGCTGTGGTGTTTACAACAGATACCGGAACTACTTTACTGTACTGCGGAAGTGACGGCCGACTCCTGTAATGTTTTTTTTTTGTTTTTGTTTTTTTGGTATTTCTTCAAAAGAAAAGTTGTTACAGTAAAATAAATGTGTTTTTACAGATTTCTGAGAGCAGAAATGGCAGCAACTGAAGTTATGCCAAATCAGGTAAAGACTATAGCGATGCTGCTTCAAATCTAAAATCTCACTCATTCAGTGCTAAGAAAGTGATGCAAGTTGTGTTTCTCTGCATTTGCTCACAGAGTGTGGTGGAGAGGGTAACCAGCCTCCCTCTGGTGAGCTCCACCTACAGCCTGGTGTTCAGTGTGTACTCCAACACCAAGGACAACCATCCTTACATCAGGAGTGTGTGCGAGGCTGCAGAGCAAGGGGTCCGCACCATCACCTCTGTGGCCCTCACCACGGCCTCGCCCATCATCGGCAAGCTGGAACCTCAGAGTAAGACGGGTTGAAAGGACAAGCGACGCATACTAAAACCTCCAGCTGAGTCACGTCACTAGAACTTGAAACAGGATGGTTAACCCAGACTCCTGACTCTTAATCCAGTTGATCTTTCACCTCATTATGACTGAGCGTGTTACATAAGTATTCACAACTCTAGAATTCTTCAAGTTTCGTATTCAGTTTGGATTTTTTTGGCTGAAACAAGACAAAGTGGCTGGTTTTTGAAATATTTAACAAATAAGGTTGACCTGCACCCCAATGGTTTAGCGACACCCATCTTTTTCATAAGAAAAAAGCAGCCATACCCATATTTAACATTATTGGGGATTGGTGCAATGTTATTTATTCTCCAGATAAAACCTTTTGGGTTTTGGATGTGTTAACTACTTAGATAACAAGTAGTTGCCCTGGGTTTTATTTTTTGCATTTCAAAGTAAACTGGGCTAAAATACAAATGGAAGCTGTGTAACTTTGCCTCTAAGTTTCAATTGTGCAGTTTTGTGTTGGTCTATAGTGAAATCCCACGAAACGACTTCATATTGCTGGTTATAAGGTAGAAAATGTGAAAAAGTCTAAGGGATGTTCAAGTTATCTTGACTTTTTTGCTTCAGAAAGTCTATAAATTGTCTCTTTTGTTCCATCTACAGTTGCCATTGCCAATGACCTGGCCTGCAAAGGTTTGGACAAGATTGAGAAAACTCTGCCAATCCTCCATCAGCCCTCTGACCAGGTATGGCAACAAGCCCAGTTGCACAATACTGATGTGAGCTAATCTCCCCAAACAGCGTTGATCATGTTGACCCATGGCTTTTCTTCCATAACCTTCCACTTTTGGCTTCAATCATTTAAACAACAAAAATTCCCCCATCTGTCTTTTCCCCCAGATTGTTTCCAGCGCCAAGGATGTCGTAACCACCGCTAAGGATGTTATGACGGGAAAAGTCTCTGGAGCCAAGGGCACCGTCTCTGACACTCTGAGCACTGTGGTGGAAAAGACCCGGGGCGCAGTCCAGGACGGGATGGAGAGGACCAAGGCTGCCGTGAGTGGGAGTGTGAGCACAATGCTGGACAGCAGAGTGGTGCAGCTGGTCAGCAGCGGAGTGGACACGGCCCTCACTACGTCCGAGAGCCTGGTGGAGCAGTATCTGCCAATGTCAGAGGAGGAGCTAAGTGAGTGGAAGTTATTGGGTAAATGCTTGGAAACAATATTCAGACACCTTTATCATTTTATGTTTTGTCACGTCGCAACCAAAAACCTCCATCGTATTGGAATTTTATGTGATGGACCAGCAGGTACAATAGTTATGAAGGTGAAGGAAAAATGCAGTGTGTGTTTGAGATGCAACTCAGATGCTCCCAGTTGTTGTCAAAACAACCTCATTGCCAGTTATGTATCATGACTGTTCAAAAGTAAAAAAAAAAAAAAACAAAACAAAAATCCCTCCAGCTGCACAGCATCCAAACCAGAGGGAATAAGTGTTCAAACATGTGACGCCTCAACAAAATAAAAAAAATCTATAAAAAGAACAAGTCAGAACTAACATAACAGAGCTACTTTAACATGCTGCCACCATGAGAAATGAAGTTCCAACATTGTAAAGAACTAAAACAAAATATCTTGCAGTTACATAAAGCTGCATCATGGGTCAGATGGGGACCCATGATGTCCTGAAAACTGGGGTTATCAGATAAATGCTAATGTGCATTAGCTGCTTTTTCCTCACCAGCAACACAATGAAGAGTTGTTCAGAGTGACACTGTGGTACACTGTGGTCAGAGTTCTCAAAGATTTAAAGCCCAGGCGTTCTAACACTGATTTATTGCCTTCATGACTAAAAACACCACACATGCAGTGGCTTGTGGGAGCTAAATATAGTGTGGTTTGGTTTCCCCTCGCCTTGTGACAGAGCTGGAGGCTAAAGCCGTGAAAGGCTTCGATCAAAAAGAGAGCTACTACGTCCGCCTGGGCTGCCTGTCTACCAAGCTGAGGAGGAGAGCGTACACCAGCGCCGTGGCCAGGATACAGGAGGGCAAGGAGCGCAGCCTGGGGTTCATCTCTGAGCTCAACTCCACTGTTGACCTGGTGAGACTTGAACAGCTTCTACTCTACAAGAATCGATGCAAATTATTCCCGTAAGTGTGAAAAATGCCGATTCTAAGATTTAAGCTTTCCTCTTTCTAGATCGAATATGGCAGAAAGAACATCAACAATGCTAACCAGATGGTGAACAACAAGCTGAACTCATTGGTCCCGTGGAAATCTGGTACTCAGACCCAGGAGAATGGTCATCATGCAGAGGTAATTCACACAGGAAGCCAGCCAATTAAGACCCGTTTGGATTTGAACACATTTCTTTCAATTAAACCAAATCAAGCCAGGTGGTTAACAGTTGGAGCCTTGAGGAAAAACACATTTATCCCACATTAGGACTTCATGTAAAAACTGTACGGATAACTAATGAAACTCTCACCGTCCTGGCCACGTCTTACATGAAACCATTTATTATTCTGCACAAGACATTTGGTTGCATCATGAAGGTTTACTAGTCGTTCCAAGAGGATTTGGGTCCAGAAAGGGAGGCAGAGCCAACTCCCTCAGAGCCTTTAAATCCAGCATGTTTGAAAAGGCTTACGTTTAATTAAAGCCACGAAAATTTATTGCCACACCGTTGTAAAGATATGTGAAAATATAAACTAATTTTCATTGCAGAGACATGATCTAACTGAAAACAGAACATATATTTGAGATAAAAAATGTTATCCAATAGCATTTTTTGTGGGATTGGGTAAAGACAATATTAAACATGTATTTTCTTTAAAGAAATGCATTCAAATTGTAGCTGTTTTTACATTTTCAGTATAACATTGGGGGTTTTGCAGTTAAAAGTAGTTTAGGGCTAAAACACATTGCTGCCTCAGATGTTAACTGCTTCCGCTACTGAAGCCGTTTTTTCTTCATACCAGTTTAATATTTGTTTAAACTGGTTCTCATATGCTAGTTATACATTTACAAATACGTGTTGTAGGTTTTACTTCAGGGCAATTATTATAAAACTGATAAAAGACCAACCAAACATGTTCATTTTAAAATGATCTTCTTGTTGCAGGTGATAGAGTCTCGCACCTTGGCTCTCGGTCGTTCCCTCACCCAGCAGCTGCAGACCACCTGCCTCGTTCTGGTCTCCGGCCTGAAGGGACTCCCCAACCACATCCAGCAGGAGGCGCTGTCCCTCAGCCATTCGGCAGCACAGGTGTACAACAGTTTCAGCCGAGCCAAGGTCCTGGGAGACCTGCCGGACAGCGTGTTAACCAGCAGCAGGGTCCAGCTGGGCAAGATGAAGGAGTCCCTGGACAATGTCATGGATTACCTGGTCAACAACACGCCGCTCAACTGGCTGGTCGGTCCTTTCTACCCCAGGATGAGCATTCACAACGAGTCGTCCCCAGCCAGCAGCAAACAACCAGAGAATAGAAACGCCCCCTTCACTCAGCCGCAAACCGAGGAGCCTATGGAGGTGGAGATGGAGTCACTACATTCCCATCAACAATTACTTCAGAGTCAAGACAGCTGAAGTAATTTCACTGCAAAGTCCCTAATTAGCACTGAATGCTTGATGTCTGAGTATGAAGGTTAAGCAAACTGCACTGTTGCTTTTTTATTCTTGCAGAAGTTTCCCCATGATCTTTTTACTCACATGAATGTCTTTATTTTCCAGCCTTTGGATTTAACTTTAATAATAATAATTTGTTCACACCTTCAGAAAATAAACTGGAACTATGAACTTCTGTGTTTTTCCACTCAATGTAATTTTCAAACTTTTAATCCTATGCCAATGAAATTGAACATTTTAACAAACAGACATATCGGACCAATAAGCCTCATTACATCATTTATAAGGGGATGTCACTCAGATTTCATCGAAACATGAGAGCCTGCAGGTTTTGATGCAGCTGATCATCTACGCAGCATGACATTACCACTACCTTGCATTATTACACAAATATACAGAAAAAAATGAAGTATTTTTCCATATATTTCACATTCATTTCATTGAATGTAAAACATTTAGTTCATTTCACATGCAAAAATGCAGCACAGCTTTTATGCAGCCTAATTCTGCCCACAATTTCCCCAGTCAGCCCATTTGAAAACAAAGATTTTTACAATTAGCCTTTTGTTTGTAAAATAAACTGCATGACATTTAGGAGAAAGAAAGATTCCACAATCGTACGGCATCACCAGTAAACTTTATTAAATTTAAAAAGCAAACCATGACATTTATATTTCTTATTACACATTATAGTCGATTGTGCGCAGTCTATGAAAAGACTGCAACCCAAAGATGGCACATTTAAAAAAGGAGTCAAGCCCAACTGGTTGGTCCAGGTCAAATGTCACTGAATTTGACTGCGCTGCGCTAAATAGTCCATCAGACTCTGAAATTGCCAAATCCAAGAAGAATGAATAATTACTTCTAATGCACAAGGTTTCAATGCACTCGATGTGGAAATCCTGTAAATCATAAAGAGCTCACTGTAAGCTTCTGAATCTGGCACCAAGCCACATCATCAAGCAACTCCAGGTTGATTTCCTCCTTTGTCTCTTCAGAAAACATTAACATCTAGAAAGAAGAAAAACTTCACACGTTAAAATATGTCAATTTCAAAAGAATCGCATTTTAAACGACTTAATCTGAAATAGCATCAAAACCTCTGACAATATGCAGGTTAAAAATAGATTTAAACATTTAAAAACCAAAACTACAGGGGAGCTTTATGTCCCTCAGTTAATACTGAAATATATGAACCCAAAGATCAAAAAAAAAAATCTTGAATAGCATTTTAGATGGTTAGTATAAGGACTCGCAGTAATCATTACTGTAAAATGTGACGCTCTCATCGTTTAAACTACTAAAAATCTGAAGCAAATTATTGCATCATCTCCTCCACAAAGAGGCCCATTAACCACCCATTTATTCAAGTCAAGTGTGAAGTCAGAGAAACACAGAAAACACGAAGTAGGCGAGTCCCAGGAAGGAGAAACGCTGCTCTACAGCTGCAAGGAACAAGTATGCATTTTCACCTGTCCCTGCGCCGTCGTCACAGTGATGTGGGCTGCAGGTCCTGCCATTGAACAAGACAGCTCACCAGCAGACAGAACCGACCTGTAGCAAACGGAAAAATAATCATCAAGTTGCCAATCATCTCAGTTTGACTGTTATGAAAACATTCACATCTTACTGCTTTATTATACAAAGGCTTCTCTGTCTTACAGACCATAATTTATCGTCTATGCAGCGCTGTAACCAGGAGAACCCAATAAAGTTCTGGTAGATTTCTTTTCCTGCACTATAGACAGACCTGAGTTTAGGCTTTTTCTGCTTCTGTACCGCCTCGGGAGTCATTTCGGGAGTTTTGCGACTCGCCAGATGGCTCTGGGCTCGTTTGATCGTCGCTGAGGAAGCTCTGCAGGAAAAAGAAGTACAAGCAACTCCTCGACCTTCAGGCCCAATCTGGTTGAGACGACCTCACACAGGCGGTCGGGTCTTACCTGAGGTTTCCAGTGCTGTTGCTGATAGTTATAGTTCTATTTCTTTTTGTGCCTGTTTTGGCACTCTAAAAAAAAACAAAACAAAGACAACAGCAAATAATAATGAAAAGCCTGTTTGAATCATTGTTTTATGTCAAACGAGTCACCTTTGCATTCCTGGCAGAAGCCCTCTGGGCCGGGGTGGACAACACCGGCGCAGAATCAGTCGATTTTACTTTGAAAATGAAAAGTGCAAAATCATAAAATACCAGGCAATACAAGAGGAATATTAGAGTACAAACAATTACCTGGTCCCCTGGGGACTCGCTTGAGAGGCTGAGTCATTTCACGGGATTCACTCTGAGAGAGAAAAAAAAAAAAAAAAGTTTATTTATTTAAGAAATCCTTTCCTGTGAAGCATAGAGGGAAGAAATTGACTCACCTGAATGGCTATCGACACCTCACTGGCCGAGAGGTCCTCTATCACAGAAGACCAAAAAATTGGAGAAAACACCCAAAAAAAAATAACAAAAAAAACAAAGACAGGTCAAGTAAGTAGTCCATCTTTTTCCAAAACCTGGACTGAGAGTTTCAAAGACTTAATTGGTTTTGTTGTAGAAATAGTGAAAATAGATTGTCACACAATCATCTCATTCAAAATTGAATATCAGTGTGAGCTTTGATTAGAAAGCTTTCAATCACAATGTCTCATTTTGTTAATGTCTTCCATATTGGATGTGAAATTGCTCAGATTTAATTACATCAATTAAGTAAACCCAACTCCTGCGTTTTCCTTCTAGCATTTTCATTCGGTTTTTAACATGCTGGTCATCTTATTTTATCATTATTCAAACGTGATACAGTTTAGAGGGAATTGCACCATTTTTTATTGCCCCGGTTAAACAAATGAGGCAACGTTAATCCCGTTACGTCACCAGCCTTCAGTACCATTTGGGTCTGTTCAGCTATATCTGCATCAATTTGAAATACTTCAAATTTTTTTTTTTAAATAAGATCAAGTGCAAAACATAACTCTAAGACTTACGGCTGATCAGATCCCCTACGAGAGTATTTTGAAGAGAAGGAGGCATTTTCATCAGCTCCACTTTAAACACTTTGTCAACTGTCGCTATGAGACTCTCCAGTTTGGACTCCAAGTGCCTCATGCGGTCCTGTGCTGGAAATGCATTAAAAATAAAATAATAATAACAATAAATGGTTTCTTTGTTTTGTTTTGCCATCTACCTTCTTTCTCAATCTGTTGGATAAAAAGCCCATGCTTCTTCCGTCGCATTTTCCGACTCAGCTGCTGCTTGTTCTCGGTATTTGCTTCAACTTTCGCCCGTCGTTGTGACATTTCGTCTCCCTTTCCTCTCAGAAGTACAAAAAAAGAAAAAAAAAAAAAAAAAAAAAAAAGCAAGCCAACGCCAGGAATACACACCTGTGACTCCAGCTGCTTTAATTAAAGGCTTTAATCAAGAGCCGCTTCCTTCTTCAACCTCAGAAAACCGGAAGTCACCTCAGTGCATATCCTGTTGGCTGGCAACTGTAAAAGAAATATTTAAAAAAAAAACATAAAAACTGCGCTGAAAATCTTAATTAGCTTTTTTTTCTTCTTCTTTTTTAAATCACCACTCATTTAATTATTATTTTTAAATAATTACAGGAGTTAATTCCTTTTTTTATGTCTGCAAATGACTGAAGACTATCAACACAATTTTTGCTTATTTTTTTTTGTACCGACAGATTTTGATGTTTAAATGTCTTGAATAATTTGCAACAAAAACTTCTTGCTGGGAAAAGACAGCATGCTGTCACCATGTCATCACTGCTGTTTTTACTTTGTTTTCTGCTGATGATCTGTTGTTTTTAGACAGCGTTCATTTGACATCCTATAAACAGGAACATCATGTCAGCTCCTCACAAACTTCAGTGACAACAATGTTGTGCAATTTCTTGAATGTTTTCCTGGAGCACTGGAGATGAAATCACAGCTGTATGTTTCCACACTTTTTAAAAGAAAACATTTTTCTGTATCAGTACTAAAATAAAAATATTTTTTCATAATTTCCACAATTTTTTGTTTTTTTGCATACTTCATATTAACTATAGTCCAAATCTCAAATCATGGTAATCCATTCCTCTCTTATTTAAGTTTGTGAGTTTAAGTCCATGATGCATTAAAACGTCTTGACTGCAGCTGTTGACACTGTTGGTGTAACGTCACTTTTACCTTGTTGCTCAGTTCTGAATCCTGCAGGAGAATACACACATTATTACCAATCTGAGATTTGGTTGTGGGAAGAAGTCCTTCTTGGAACACGTTTCGATCCTCCAGACAACGCCGTGCTCTCCGGCAGGATTGTGAGCAAGCCCACTCTCTTGGATGAGAAGCAACCCCACACAAAGTGCATCAGGAGGCTTTGCTGTTGGCGCAACACACAACATGCTTTACCAGATGTTACAAAAAAACATAAAAAATTGAGTGAGTGGCTCTGAGAAAACAACTTAGCACCATTCTTCTGTATTGAGGTATTTATGAGGCAAATCAATTTATGCACTTTTGCTGGGCTCTTGAGAGAAATGCAACTGGAGTTGTGAAATTGGACATTTTTCCCCGTCCTTCTCAAATACCTCAAACTGAGGCAATGAAGAGTTTCCTGTGGAATTTCTGCTAAAGGTTGTTTGCTGCTGTGCAGACGTCTGTAGAGTCCAGGTTTCTCTCTGTGCTGAATTGAGTTGGTAAAAACACCTGCAGCTATCTTTGTGCCATTTCTCAGCTAAAGTTCTTAACATATTCAAAAATTTAAAAAATTACACGTGTTGCTAACAGAATTTAAGTTGGCTTTGTTTTGACGGAAATGACCTGTTACCCTTCGAGTCATGAGAATTTGTTCAATGTTCTTCCGCTTACTGAAGTCAAGGGCATAATTTGGACAGATGGAGAGATAAAATAAAGAGTGATGGATTGGTGGAAAGACTGATAGATAGATGAATAGCTTTGGTATCTTTTAATCAACAACAATAATATATTTGTAGAAAATGTTATAATTTTGCAAAAAAAGTGTGTGTGAAAAGTGAAAAAATAAAAATGTAGAAACCAAAGCATTGACAAAAACACATCTTTGTTTCCAATCAGTTCACAAACTCATTTATTGCAGCGCTTTTAAGGACAGACATTCATTTTCTTTCCACAGGATGGTAAGAGATCATTTTCATTTGTTATTAAAAAAAAAAAGTCTTCTCTGTACAACCAAGAAAAACTAATTTACATAGTTAGTACAGGATGGAACCCCCTTTAAAGACACATTTAAAGGGATGAGGATGCTGTTAGTTATAAAAATTCTACATTACCAAACCGTCTTCAATCCAAATGTGAATAATACAAAAATAAATAATCAAGATTATTTTTTTTTCTTTTTGTTTGCTCTGTGATGTGGCTTAATCTTATCGTCACAATGGGTTAAGTTCAGATCTCACTCTACGCAGTGCAAATGGAATATTTTACATGATTTCTTCTGTACAAGTCAAGCTCCCAACTCAGATCTAAAAATAGTTCAATCTAAGGCCCATTTCCCCAACAGGTCATCACAGCACTAATCTGATTTACCTCATGCTTCAGCATTTAGTGGAATGTCACCTCAGACTCCTGGGAGAGAGTCAGCAGTAATCAACAAGTTCTGGTTTCTGCAGCTTCTTTCAAAAAGGGACTGGAGCGATTAAAATGACGTCCACTCCGTGAGTGATGGGAGCGCCCGGCGGGAGGATTTGCCTCATCACAGCGGCAAACGTAAAATTGTTTCACTTAAATGTTGCGTGATGGACCAGCAGAAAGAGGTCAAATACGTGAAGTAGAAGAAAAAGGATGCATAGGTTTAATAACACTACTGCAGCAATTTCTAGAATTTAATTTGAAAAAGAAAATTTTGAAAATCCATGCACCATTTTTCTTCCACTTTTCAATTATGGACCATTTTATGCAAATGTAAAAAAAAAAAAAAAGTACAAAGGGTGTAAATACTTTTGAAATTTATAAAATTTTTACTTTGTAAAGAAGTGAAGCCTTTATTTGATTCAGGGAAAAGAGAATAGCCCAACTATATATCAGCTCTCACACAATAAGGCCTTTTAGAGCAACTAGTGCAGCAAGTTCCTGTTAAAAAAAGGCAGATATAAGAAGCAAACCGAGCTGCTGTTTAGCTTTCCTGTTTAGCACGGCTGTGTTGCTTTTGGATCAGTAGTGTGGCACTCCTGCATTCGGGAGTCGGGTGTTGTTGCAGAGACCAGTTCTGGTGTAAGACATGCTCCTGGCTGCAGGGCGATCTGGAATGTTGTGAATCCATTTTAGTGATTGATACTTAGTGATTGTCCGTAGCCGCGGTCACTGAAACAAACACAAGCTTGTATATTTACACTTCAACATCTCCAGAATTCATTAAGACTTGGAAGGAACAAAAATAAACAACAACAAGAAAAGGCAGCTCTGGTTTCAGGTTTCTCACTTGAATGAAAAATATGTACAAACAGGTGGTGAAGCTCAGTATGTGTGTTATTGCCTGCTTTAGAAAGTGCAAACACAGAGCAGTCTGGCTCGGCACTCTGGGACATATCCGTCTCATCCGATCTGATGTGGGAGAAGTTACAGGACGGAGGAAGTGACTGCGGTGCGGGCAGACGAAACATTCTGTTAGGCAACGAGTGAAGAAGCGCGGCTCGTGTCGTCCCGGGTGGCAAAAAACATTTCCCACCGAAAGCCACGGCTTGAAAACATACAAGAAAAAAACAAAACAAAAGCAGCTTTAAAGTACCATGTTCAGCTAAGGGAGCGGCTTTAAAAAGTTCACTGTTCCCCTCTGCTGCGGATGACCAGTGAGGACGCTCTGAGACGCAACCGTTGTTCAGATGAAAGGGGCGCCGAAACATTTCAGACACCACTCGATGCTGGCGCTGGGCGGGCGGTCCATGCGGTGCAGAGACTTGAGCTGCTCCGGGCTCAGCTGGTCGTAGGCCTGCCGGTACTCCCTGTCGAAGGCCTCTGCAGGAGACAAAGAGGCAAAATCAGCAAAGTTTCTCCAAAAACCCAACCTTTCAATCAGGTACTTCTTCTTTACTTCAAGAATATGTTTTAAATGGGATATAACAGTAATATGAAGGCCAAAATCTCACAAGACAAAAGCAGGTGCCTTTTTAAGTAAGATGCGTGTGTTTATATTTATAATCCAGAAAATGGAGACGAGAAAAAAAAAAGTTTAACTTTAGCATTCACTCTTGCTGATTGCATTTGTAAAATGTTATTTGTTGTATTTATGGATCAAACATATTTAATGAATCACTGCAACGATGGTCATGTGACCTATATGGTAATATCATTATTTATATGAAACGTATTTTGCTAATGTAAGTAGCAAAAACATTTTGTTACGTCACTGAAAAGCTTCAACGTTATTGCATTCAAAATGGCAAAAATTATTAGACTGTTCGCTTGCACTGTGTTTTTGGTCACTGTTCAATAAATCACACCAGGAGATTCTTTTTTTTCTCACTTATTAAATATCAAATTAAAAGTTGGGCTTTTCAATGTCGGTTAAAAGCTATATCTGATGTGATTCAGTTAATGGAAAGTGAAACTCATTTGTCTGTAATTGTCACTCACCTATGTCGATGTTCTCTCGTCCCAAAGCCACCAGTGAGAGAAACAGAATTTCTCTGTAAATACTCCTGAGAGAGATTCAGAGGAGAAAGTTAACACCTCAGGAAACAACCTTGAAACAGAAAAGCGACAAGGCTGACCTCTGCCGTTTGATGCCGTCTGGACGGCGTTTGATCTCCCTCAGGAGCAGGTTGATGGGACCGTAGACGTCGTTGGTCTGGATGTTTCTGACGATGGTGTTGAGGAGGGTTCGGATCTCCTGATGATCTGTTGGAGCTAAAGTCCCCTTTTTCTCCACTAGGAGCAACAAACACCACAATGTTTCAGGAGACAGACTCAGCGCTGACCTCTTCTGATCATGCAGGAAATTAAAGGTGAAATTGTTTGTTTGTTTTTTGTCTCTGTAAGATCTTCATATTGGTGCAAATATCCAGTAGAATTTCCTTGACAGTGTGAATTTAAATGGGACCTAAAATGCAAAATTTACATTTTGCACGTCTTTGCCTTCTGTTTGGGTCTTAACGGCTTCTAAAAACCACCCATCTTAAAAACAAAGCAAACCAAAAATACAACTACAAAAAAAAAAAACTCCACCGAACTGTTTTTGGAAATAAGTTCACGCTTTTTTGGGTGTCTAGAAAATGAGCCATTTCAAAAACCTGCCGATTAATAAGTCACAATCAAGGGCACTGCCTTGTCACTGAGCAACCCAAGCTGAAGCCCAGCAGGTTTGGTCAGCTGGGTTTACCACTGTACATGCTGTTCACTGGCTGCTGGAAAAGACGAGTGTTTTGTTGTTGACTTACCATTAAGAAACCACTTGCTGCATTGTTGTTGGTTGTGCAGGAGGCTCTACTAATGCTTTTCAAAGATGTACAGTTGTACGATTGCACATCTATTTGCAGCTAATTTTATGTACGAGTGTAAAACGTCAAGTTGGGGGATGTGGCCTGCAGCAGCGTATTTGGATTTAAGGAGACAGGAGGCCCTAAAACAGCTCATAAACAACTCATTGTCTAAAAATGATTTTGTGTAACCTATTCAAGGAAGCATTAATAAGTGGTTGTGCTTTAGTGCCCTCTAGTGGAAGCTGTAAATATCTGCATGCACTCACAGAAGGTCCTCCAGAGGAGGTAGAGCGGTTCTTCGGGTTCCTGATGCAGATTGATGTTGTCCCACAGCAGCTGGACGAAGACATGCTTACTATCCTGAGACAGCGACGTCAAGGGGAGCTGCAGTAACAACAGCTTGTTACATAAATACCACAGCTTATGACCTTTTATTGTATTATTTAAGCCACAAACATATTGTAGGGACTTTTCTCACTCTGATAACCCTCAATAAAAAGCCAGGGTAAGTCACTTCTCATTAATTTCTTTTTAAATTATGAAAAAGTTAAAGGATTTTGAATACTTTAAGGATTAGTGTGGTTAAACTGTGACTAAATTCGCAGTCGCTTGTTTTGAACCTGGACTCCGTTGTTGCAGTGTTCAGATGTCAGGATGAGGCCCGGCAGGTGAGACGGGAGGTCCAGGCGGCGGAAGTACCAGACCAGGTTCCAGAAAATAATCGGATGCTGACTGAGGAACTTGTGGGTGTAGATGACCTGGACAGAGAGCTTCCTGTTTCAGTACCAAGTGTCGTTTCACGAT